GGCGTACGGGCTGGATACTCCCTTGGGTTGTCCCTGGGAGTTCCAGAACCGGCGCCGGTCGCGATAATGGACCAGGATTGGCCGTGGCGCTGTGCGAGCGCACAGCGAGTCGATGCTCGCTGCCAGCCCGCTCGCTAGAAGGGATCGAGAGGTGAGCTCACCTGCTTGATCTTGACCGGCGAACCGGGCTCCTGCTTAACCCGGATCCTGCTAGGTCCCGCCGTGGCGTTGGCCTGCCCAACGTCAGCGTCATCGTCTTTTCATAGGTGAGATTAACTCACCTTCGGGTTCACCCGCGCCGACGTCGCTGACTTGCTTGCAGTCGACTGGCCAGGCTTAGACGGCTGGCCCGTACTCTGTGCGGCTTCGTGAGTGGCGTGCTCACGAGGTTCGTATCAATTACTTACCTTCGACGGCACAGGCGCCTTAGACGCCTGCGATGTCGCAGCGGGCGCACGAGTGGCGGCGACCGCAGGCTGGGCGACCTCCTTGCCCTTGCCCTTATCCTAGAGGTAAGTAATCAGCTATCGAGTGCTTCCGGTCGCAAGCGTGCTGAGTTACCTTTGCAGTGGGCGCGGGCTTCTCGGGCGCCGCCGACTTGCCGATCATCTCGACATCTTGGTAGTCCTCCCCCGAGTCCTCATCCTCATCGTCGCTAGCGTTGACCGTGCCGCTGAGGAGCTCCTTCTTGGCACGGTGCCCCGGGGGGACCACCGCGGTGTCGCGCTTGCGTTCGATAATCTTGAGCAATAGTAAGTAGACGCTTTGGTTCGAAAGGTTGATTCACTAACCGCCTTGTCAAGTAGCTCGCGTATCTTGGCGGCCTTCTTGGACTCGCCAGCGACCCTCTTCTGGACGGCCTTGGTCTCGACGGCGGCGGCGGCCTTCTTCTTAGCGGCCTCAGCAGGGATGCTGGCTTCAATAATGTTGATGTCGCTCAGGAGCTCGGCGAACTCGTCCTCGCTCTCGACGGTGAGGTCGGACTCAACCTCGGCCATATCTTCGTCTTGCTCGTCGTCGACCTTGGGCACGAGCGGCTGGTTAGAGTCCGCCTTACAAGACTTCTTCGGCTTAGCGTCGACGTCGTCTTCGTCCTCCTCGGGCTTAGACTTGCCAATAGAGTCGGCCTCGACGTCGGGAAC